ACATAAAAGTCTTATCAGATGTTTGTTTAGATCTTCATAATTTATTACTAGCGTGATGGTGCAATAAAAAACCCATTAGCAGTCCCAAATCCATTAACATTTTATCACGACAATAATTGTTGTATTGAAGTACTTCCAAGAACTGTTGAGTTTTATCACTTTTATTTCTTTACGACTTTCCCCAATTCTGTTTTATCATAAAAATAATAGTTTTATGATGACTGTTAAACGTTATCTCTAACTTAATCAGTATTTTCGTGAATATTGAATTTGCCGCTGGCCATTGCCTACTGCCATAAAACTGTTTATGGCTAAATATTAAACTTGTAACTAATCTACAATCTTATTTTATAAATTAAAATATTTGTTATGGATATTTTATCTTTCTATTGACGACCATGGATATATACAAACTTTTGTCGTGATTTTAATTTCAACATCAAAATACAATATTGCACAATCGTGATATTTTAGGCCATTGACCTTTATTATGCATCCGGTATTGCTGTTTCAGAAGAGAAGCACGTTGATAAATTATAAATTGATATTCCCGTAGTTAAAAAGAATTATTTTATAAACCTATAAAACAAAATCATAAAATCTTACATAAAGATAACAATAACGGAAATTGTAAAAAGGGTATAAAGATAACAACGTCTTTTATTCTTTCTCTTTGTTCTTCTATTTCTTGGGTTACCCTTCATCACGCATTCAACAAGTTGCCATGGTTACTAATCACCCATGTCGTTATCAGCTTTTGTGACATAGCTCACAGCAGGGGGTAAAACTTGACGAAAATCGGTAAATTTTTACCTATTATTTAATTACCAATGAATGTACTACTTTATTGGTATTTGGTATTGTATTAATAATCGGTCCAAATGGCAGATTTTTGTCAAATTTTACACCAAATTTATTGAAATTTCAAGGTGAATATTAATAAAACAATTATTACCAAATATTTGTATTCATTTAAAAGATTGATTTGTGGTATTGGGTTCCCCACTGAGTGCAGCCGAGCGGCACTAATGAGGGTCGGACCTTCTTGGGGGTGAACAATAGACGGCTTATCAGACCCTCCCCTCCCCCGTGGTCTGGAGAAAGCATGTAAACAAACTATTGCACAAGCGTGACTTGACATTGAGCTGCTTCAACTATAATTTTGTAAAATGAACTGTGATGTTTCAAAATAAAAAACAATAATTTGGGACCATACTGCTTAACAATAACGGACTGCAATTATTGTTGAACATTCAATCCATTTTTAACAAACTAAGATTATACGATTCAAATACAATTATAAAAATTATCTTGGTATTTTACTTGGGGTAATGAAGTTATGTAGGCTAGTGTAATTCTCGGTTCATCAAGGTTCTACTGAATTATGTTTGGCAGTGAATAAGTGTAGAATGCAATTTATAAATTCAGGGATACACACCTTTTACACAGTTATAAAGTCTAATTGCCCAACATCAAATCTTACTCTGTGATAATCCAAATTTTAGTTTCAGAAAAAAACTTTGCAAGAATTGTATCCATCTTATAACTTAACTAGTTTTGAAGCTGATAAAAAAAATGGTCTTTGCCATTACTTCATCATAACCTCCAGTTTTTCATTGTCATCTGCTGTGAACAGCTGTCAAAACTACACTGTCTTCTACTGAATGCTTTTATATGTTTTTAAAATTAAAAACAACTAGACATTGTGTTGGTTGGAAATAATTTACCAGTTTTGTGAAATTATCTTGTCAATAAATGTTTCAAACATGTTTATTCATAAAAACTCTTATCCTATTTTTAAACTGCTTTATCATGGCTATTCAAAGTATCTCAGAGTAAAATAGGTAAAGCCTTTATCTCAACTGTGATTTTTCTTGACACAATCCTCATAGTAGTAAAAGGTTTTGTTTTAATAATATGTGGTACAGAAATTGTTGTTAGAAAACCATGAATGTAGGAAACTATCCATTTTCATAGTAATGTCTATACTGTATTAAAGTTCAAAATAATGGTTTAGATACAGTTCTGAGAAGAAAACCGCAAAAATACGGGTAGCCGCGTACCGTACCGATTTTGTACCGAGAACCGAGGTACAAAATATTGTACCGTACCGAACCGTACCGACCTTAAATTTTCTGTACCGCAGACCCCTAATTCTGTTACATAAAAATAGGAGTTTAAACGAATTTTACCTGATCGTATTAAAAAAAGTATTAATACAAGATATCAAGAGTAATAATAAATCAAGCTTAACAAACCTTTTGAGCTGTCTTATTTTGAATCTTCTTCACCAAAAATGGGAAAATTAAGGTATGAATAATATTTTGTAATAGGTATATAACCTTTGACTATTAATACAACCCATTAGTCAATGATATAACATTAAATATAGTTCTTAAGTTCTTGATTATTATTATCATTAGTATGAGTAGGCCTATATGATGCATGATATTATTACTGTACATTAAATTAATACTAGTTAACCGCCCGTGCTCCGCCACGGGAATATTGTCAGCAATAAAAGAAATAATAATTAACAAATACTGTTTATCTTTGTATTTTATTTCGGGGTTGTTTAATTTTTTACATGAAATAGAACTGATAGTTTGCCTGTATAAACTATTTTATGTTAATCAAACCGATATATTATTTTAACCAAATGGATATTTTATATTAATTCGAGTTTCATTTGAAAAATAAATATTATACCAACTGGGCAATGCTGATAACCTAATAAGCAGCTATTTATGCTATTTAGATAATTTGCTCAAGTATATTCCTATATTCGTGGTTTTTTTTCATTACATTTGTTGTATGGAATAAAGATGGTCACTTAGCCTACATGTAAATCACGCACCTCTTTGCTCTGTGATCACGCATCAGCAGTTGGTCGCATTTCACGAATCTTTGACCCATACTGTGAGTAAAAGCTGTGTTTACGTCATATATATAAAGTTGGGCATACTTTAATCAATGTTAGAGGGTATTAACGGTCCAATTTGATGGAAAAGGAGTCGTGGATTTTAAAACTATGTAGACTACCACTACCAGAAAGATTTTGATTCAAGTGAGACTTAGAACTGGCCATTTCAAATGCAGATTTGTTTTACTCAAATAGATTTTTGTCTCTTTTGACCCTTAATACTTTTTTGTAGTCGCTGATGATAAGATTTTCCATAAACTCAAAATGTTGATAAGGAGTTCATTTTACCTTCTCCTTGTGACAACATAAGGAAACAATATTTTTGTGTCCCAGTTAGTCTCTTCTGACTCAAAATTCATAGATTTGCAGTACTGACAAATCCAATCTAACGACCCCAATTCAAAAAAATTGGTATTTTTTAGAAGGGACTTTCAGAGCACATTCAACACCATCACTGCTCTTTACCTTTTTAGTTCGATGGTTCTCTACATGTTTTTTCGTTCTGTATGTCTCTTTACACCCGGTTAATGATTACCTTTCCTTTTTCTTTTTGTACTTTTTACATCCTGGGGTTAATGATAAAGTTTTATAACGCTATAATGACCCGAGTCAACATTGCAATTTATTAATAATTAAGCCAACATTGAGTCAACATTAATAATTTCATAGAAATTATAAAAAAAACCAATTTAAGCTGAATACATTTGAATTGAATTTATTCAAGAACGGCAATGCGTTCGGCGATTAATTTAGGCTATTCATGTTCATATTTATTCTTGTCTCAACAACTAAATATATGTTTTTCTTAAAACCTAGTAATACAACTTTAATATAAAGTCGGCCCTACTCATATAGTGACTATGTTTTCCTGGAAAATGCATTAATAAGCATGCCAACAACGGGAAGTTTATCACATTACGCCTCTGTTCCGACGACGTGTTGTGGCCACACAGCTGCATTCAGTACTCGCATCGGAGTCCGATCTAGTAACTAGTGGCATAGACTAAGCAACACAAGGGAGTATGTTTTATCTATGCTAATGGGTAGTGCAAGTGCCAAGTGTGGTGTGAAGAACAAGATATGAATGAATGTCCATGCAGTGTACCGCGCCGGCGGGCGGCGGGCGGGCGCAGTGGCAGTGGCAGCGGCTGACGTCACGGGAGGGAAGTGAGAGCCGTAGAGCGCGCTATCTTGTAGAGAAGAAGCGAACTAAGACCGAGTGCTGCGCTGTCTTTCGGAGGGTCAGACCAACTACTTGAGCCACCGATTCTGGCTCAGATCCGCTCACTATGGCTGGGCCGTTTCTATAAGATGTCTAGTGTAGAGATATAAAGTCAATGCCAGTACCCATTCCAATGGTCTCCATGGCTGTTCTACCATTGACTATTATATACTTAAGAAGACATTCCATCCATATGGACCAGCTGTTGCCAATTTTTTTATTAAAAAGCACATAGGCTAGTTAGTTGTGTGGACCAGTCACAGAATGTGCTATTGTCTAAAATTCTATTTCTAACTTTTTTATTTTTTTGCTGACATAGTTGATGGGTCATAGCAGTTGCTATAGCTCACATTATTGTACATTCACATTTTCACATTGTACATTGTACTCACATTTTCTTATGACATTCTGATTTTTATCTATTAAATTTACAGTTATCAGTTTGACTTGGTAAACAAGTCTGTGTATTCAACATAAATTAGTAATTTAGATCAGAACAATTTGTGGATGGCTCACATCAATTACGATTTTGTTTACAAAACTGGCGACAGCTTCAACATAAGGATGGAGTGTCTAGTTGTTTCTGTCAAGGGTTCTACACAAAAATCATATGAAGAGTAACTAACTAATCAAGTAAATATTATTATAATATTACCTTAAGTGTCATAGGTTGACTCATGACCACCACAAACCGACACCGTAATGAACAACTAACACAACAGACGAATAATAGAAATTCAATAACAAGAGAGTGTGGATTAACATTTTTAAATGGTTTTCTTAATGATAAAAATATATAAGAGTTAATGCAATTATATTAGGCCTACTCCAGTTTTGACTTTTACTCCATCTCACCATGGTTCCAAAGGGAATAGCTCTTGATGCATGGTAGTAGATGGCAATAAAGTTGATGAAGAAAGCAGTACCGCAGACGAGTGCAGGCAGCATGAAGGCAGACAAGATCATCTGCTTGATCCATATCTTGCCTCCGAGTCTGGCGTAGAGGCCGCCACCAAAGTAGCCATTGACTGGGCTTGTGGCCGCGTACACAAATATAGCTGTACTCAGCAATGATCCACGTCTGTAAAACATTGACTTGTCACATACTTTGGTGGACAAATATGGCCATACAAAAGAATTTGCTAGTGAATAATTAAATTCAAGGTATTTTTCTAGAAATATTAAGTCACCTATTTATTTTATCTTCACATGCCTAGTGTTCACAGACCTATTAAACCAGTTTATACTGTTGTTTTGTATTTGCAGTTTTATGCCAATTAAATATCAAGTTTGTGTATAATACATGTTGCCAACACCAACCTTAAGCTTTCATGCTCATTGAATTTTTTTATTGGAGAAAATGGTTAGTATTGTTTAATGCATTCAAACGTTTTTATTTTATGTTTCATGTTTACTCTGACTTTACATTTTGCATTTGCCTTATTCAGAAACTAATTTTCATATCTGCTGTCTCTAGGCACTATTCCTACAACCGCTATTTCCACCTACTACCTTGTCCATATGCAGAACAGCAGTGAAAGAACGCTGCCAATTGTTTGATTTCAGCATCTTTCCACTCCTCAATTCGTCAGGATCCGTTGCACAATGCCATTTGGCCAGTATAGACTACGCATGTGACGAAATACGCCTCTTGCCTCAATGTAAATAAGTTTCTCGCTTTCCTAAAACTAATATCTTATTTTCTTATTTTTGTAACCCTGTTTTACAATTCTTTGATTATCCGATCTTTGTGTCCTGATTACGACGTATCCCTTCATCTGACAGATATAAGGGTTTACATTAGAGCCACTAGCTGTTACGAATACTTCTGAAATTATAACATAGTTGTTATTTTTAGGGACACTTGTACTCAAGTACTCTTGGGAAAAATTTAATATTGGGGTTGTTTAACTACTAAATTAGGGTGTAAAATTGTACATATAGCCTTCTCCAATGGTGCACGGTGCATAGCAATTAGATTACAACTAGCGTAGCAGATGTATCCACTCACTCAGTGTACAGTTCTCCCAGTATAGCAAATATGATGACGGACAGTGTGACCGTGGTGATCTGGTAGCCGGCTCCTACCATGGCAGAGAAGAGCATGGTGTTGCTGGGAGGTCTGAACACATCTCCGTGTACCTGCTTCCACCCGTACTCATCTCCCAGGTCTCTCTCCTATCACAACATATAACATAAGAGTAAATATAGTCCATTTAATGTAGTATTTCAACCATTGAAAAAATCTTTTTGTCAAACCACTCTTCCCAAGCATGGATTTAGTCCAGAAAACAGCTGTTGCCGCCAGTTCAACCAAATGGGATTTTATTACATAGGTACTGCAATGTACAGTAATGAATTTTGCCGGACACCAGCTGCTTATAATTATTTTTACATTTTTACCAGCTGCTTATAATTACAAAGGATCACTTTTGACAGTAAAAGGTATTTAAACCATTATTTATTAATTATTTTTAGTTATTGAACGCATTATATTTCATCAGGATGAATAATATAAACGTAACAAATTTATTAATACTCCCGCCGCAGCAAACCTGCAGACTAAGCGAATTTGCATTTGCCTAAATTGATTTTAAATGAAATCTATTTAATTTACATTAGGTTTAACGAGTACCTAGGTTCGCTCCTACAGGGAGGCTAATAAAGAGTGTTTTTTAGTAAAATATTAGTAGCTTAGTATAATATAAATAAATTTGCCAAGATTGATCAAAATATTTCAATGAACATGCAAACTACAACATTTTACAATATTATCTATAAGAATAACATGGGAATTTTAAATTTGCATTTTTTTAACTTTCTCCGTAACCAATAACCGTAGAAAAACACTTTGGTATACTTAACTATTTGTTTTTTAAAGTTCTTTAAAATGGTTTGGAGAGAAATTTGAAAATTTTGTGTTTTCAGGGTCAAAAATGAGAAAACCAATTTTTGACTCCATAAAACCCCCCGTAAAACCCTGTTCCCATGGTCCGATCATGTTGGTTCGCAAACTCGTTTAAGTTTATCCTGCCTTACACCATCAAACCAAATTTCATCAAAATCGGAGAAAAATTACTCAAGTTATCGCGTTTTCGGACGTATATTTTTATATATATATTATTATTGAGGAGATCTTGATAGAGTTTATGATAAATGAAACATGAAACATTGCAAATTTTCGTTTAATACAAAGGTTTTCAAGCAAAGAGAAATTAATGAAAAATGTAAAAATGTACGAAACAAATAAATATGAACTGTTTACAAATAGTTGAATTTTGAGAACATATTGAGTACAGATCAAAGAAAATAATAAAATCAGCCTAAAGAAAAATTAAAATTCAGCTGAGTTGAATCACTGTTTTACTATGTTAAATTTAAACCAGGGGAACTTTGTTTTCAGTACCAACTGGTGAGCCAATTCAGAATTTCTTGAGACCAGTTGGTTGCATTTAGGGTTTTGATGTGGGTTTACTTTGTGAAGGGCTTTAAGGGTATAGCAGCCTTCAAAAGTTTGGTTGTGGTGAGCGGCATGATTATAGATTGGTTTTCTTTCTTCATGTACCACATCAAAACGATGGCCTGTCATTCGAACTCTTAAAGAGTTTGAAGTCTGGCCAATGTAATCTTTTGGACAATGTTTACACGATAGTTGATAAATCACATTGTGAGATTCACAAGTTGATCTACCAACAATCGGACAAACCTTGTTCGTAACTTTACTATAAAATCAGTTGTACTACTCATAATTTTGAAAATACCACATCGGGTCTTGTGACATGGTTCACAGCCATGTTTAGAATTGTTTGAAGGCTGAGAATTTTGCATTTTGGGTCTCACTAACATATTTTTTAAATGTTGTGGCCTTTTAAAAATAACACATGGTGGTCTGGAAAATAAATTGTCAGAACTGGGGGAAGATTTCAAAATATTGAATGCTACTTTCATTACACTGTTAATCTTTTGTAGCCCAGGATAGAATTGAGTAATAAATTTAGGATCACTTGAAAAACTATTATCTTGTTCTTGGTTGAGTTTTTTTTGGGGTTTTTTGATCTGATTGGATATTCGTTTTTTAACCCTTCACGGGGTAAATAGAATGGCGGGCTGGAGCTTAATTATTTTTCACAAAAATTCAAAAACTAAAGTTGTTATTTTTTGTATTTCTCTTGCTTAAAATCATTCATAGAGTATAAACAACATTACCTTTCTCCTGAAATTTTTTTTTAGACAAGTTATAAACAAAAGAAAATTTGATCTGACGGATATATCCGTCATTGGCCTGCAAGAAACGTAAGGTGGACGGATATTTCCGTCCGACGCCCGTAACGATAATATATGAACACTGCTGACCTTGGCTATTTTGTCGGACGGATATATCCGTCTACCTTAGTTTTTCACTTGTTTTATTAGTCATCTATAAAATTTAGTGTTTATTGTCCTAAAAACAGCAATATTATAAAAGAGCCAAAAAAAGACAACATCTATATAAATAAAATTAGAGTTTTGTCTGTACATTGCTTAGAATAATGAACTTTTTGGTTATTTTTACATTTCATAGGTCAGAGAAACCGAATCAAACCTTATCTCAATTTCTGTCTGTCTGTCTGTCTGTCTGTCTGTCTGTCTGTCTGTCTATCTGTCATTCTCTTGGTAACGCTAAAATACGCACTTTATTACAACTACTCCTCAATAACTATAGCACTGTCCCGCCTGAAACTTATTTTCCAAATACTATACATATATGAGATGGTTTTAGACGTATTTCATCGAATATGAGACAGTTAGATATTTAACAGTAAACCCTTGAAAATCAAGTTTTTGTCGATTTTTGACGTGGAATTTCTGGAAGCCCATGTTAACCTTATGAGAAATGAAATTATTGAATCTTAACAGCTGTTTCAATTAAACAAGTTGGTTCTGTTCTGTGATGTTCAATAGCATTAAAGTTACAAGGATTACCAACAGGGTGCAGCACTAGCACTATTATTTCTTTTACATTTATGACAACAGCTAATTTGCAACCTGGAGGCGAGTGAGCGTAGCGAACGAGCTAACCTGAAGGCAAGTGAGCGTAGCGAACGAGCTAACCTGAAGGAAAGTGAGCGCAGCGAACGAGCTCCAACATACAGGTGAGTGAGCGTAGCGAACGAACTTCAACCAGGACGTGATTGAGCCATGCAAACGAGATCAGATAGTAAAAATAAAAGTAAGCCTACCGTTATAGGATCGACCGGCAGACACAGAGGTAATTTAACCTTTTATTGATTGTCATACCGATCCGGAACAACAAAAAACAACATAAAATGAAGCTATGTATAATAGTTTGGCCAGCATATCTTAAAATATGCAAACCAACTGCTGTTCTTTATATAAGAAGGTTTCAACTGAATATTATAAGATCCCCGTGCGTAGAACGGGTACACAGCTAGTTTTAATATACAAAAGTTGTTTATTACAGCTAAATTTCACAATAAAAATTATAAATTAACGTTGAAATCAAGTTTATTTGGTTTGAAATGTATATAAAAAAATTCTGTTTACAAATGTAGTTTACTTTATAAAAAACGTGTATTCAAAAAAGTTGGAGATTGAGAAAAACAGTAAAAAATATTTACAACATTTATGCTTACTAGGCCATAAAAAATTACAGATAAAAGTAATTATGTATAAGTTACATTTCAAAAAGGGCGATGAGATACACAATGAAGAAAGGCCCTAGTACTCAGCTTCAGTGTGGTACACTGCAAAACAATCATCGGGGTGGAGAAACGGCTTTTCTGCGCAGGTTTTGCAAAAATAGACAGTTTCTTTTCGCAGCTTCTTCTTCAGGCACACGCAGCACTTTCTGGAGCCCTTTTCCAACTTTCCCATGAGGTGTAGTTTGCCATCCAACCACTGACAAGCATTTTCCCTTGGACAGCCAGGTCTGCGGCGTTCCAGTCGGAAACGTGACTGCATGTGCTCCCTGACCAGATCCTCGATCACACTCATCCTGAAGCTCTTGTGGCTCATAGGCGTTTTACCGTGCTCTTCTTGCATTGTTTTGTACAGTATGTAGGAATCCACAACTGCTACATCCAACAGCCAGAAAAACATTTTCCTGTACCATTTCTTACTTCTGCGAAGGAACTGGTAGTTAGATATGAAGTGGTCACTCCGGTCGACCCCACCCATATGCTTAGTATAGTCTGCTACAGCAATTGGTTTGCTTACACCATCGACTCCTGGTATTTTGGAGGGAACATCAACCATATGGTGTTTGTCTACTTCTTTTTTTGTGGTGAGGACAGTCACCACTGTCTTGTCCTTCCAATAAACCACAGCTATGTCCCCATTTCTACGACCCTCCGCCTCTCCTCTTTCCAGTGCCCTGCTTAGGACAGGCATTTGTAACCTATTTGGCAAAACCGTACCAGTTACGTACATTTTCATTTTTAGGAGCTCTTGGGCCAGTTGTGGGCTGTTGTAATATCGGTCCACGTAGACATGGGTTCCTGAAGGTGGATTAGAGGGCTCTTTGATGAGTGTTTGGCATAGTTGTGATACTGTTTTGGTAGTCTTTAACAAATCATGAGTGCTTAGATCGTCTTCATTCTTCCCATAGTACGGATCAAAATTATAAATGTAGCCGTTCAGGGAATCGGACAGGACAAATATCTTCATGCCAAACTTTGTTGGTTTCATCAGATTGTATACCTTAAAGACGATACAATTTGCCTTATCTTCAGATCACGGTCAGGTCCTACTTCGTGGCTAAAATGCAGGGACCAGAACAAAATCAAAAACCGGTCTCGGCTGAACACATCGCTAAAAAAAATGCATTCCATTTACCCATTTGGTAGAAAAATAGTCTTTTAGGTCGGGTAAAGGGTGCATACCCATGTTCATAACAACTCCAATGAGAGCTTTTAGCTCCTCTACAGATAACGGTTCCCATTTTTGAAATCTGCTTTTCGGACTGAGGATTTCATCATCCTGTTTAGAGCTGCCATACAAATTACTCTCTGGGCAGATTAGGTTTAGTATATTATCATTAAAAAAAAGGGAAAAATACTGTACAGGCTTTGTATCTTCGTCAAAAGTAGATGGAATATTTACACCAGCGCCGTCATTTATAATAGGAAAGGTACTTACTGGACCTGGGTCGTAGTTCGATACTTGCAGCCACTGTCGAT